AAGTGAGATTGCCTTTGCACATGCTACTTCTTTTGCATGGAATGTTTGTTCCCACCCCCTAGTTCACCAGGTTAACACCTGTGCATCTTTCAAAGCTCAGTTTCGTTTTTCCCACACACATACACTCTCTGTTTCATTCCAACAATCATTCCCTCCTTTGCCTCGTACATAATGGCAACATCTAATATGGAGTTATTCAACAACTCCCACCAACTAAAACCATTGATACAGGCAATAGGCTAATGAAAAAACATGGGAGACAAAATAAATACCCTGGACTTGGCCAGTTTGTGTATCTGAGGAGTGAGTACTTGGATGTGGTATGAAATTTTGGTGCTGTGGAGAACATTTCTTTTGTTTGTTTGTTTGTTTTTGGTACGCGGGCCTCTCACTGCTGTGGCCTCTCCCATTGCGGAGCACAGGCTCCGGACGCGCAGGCTCAGCGGCCACGGCTCACGGGCCCAGCCGCTCCGCGGCATGTGGGATCTTCCCGGACCGGGGCACGAACCCGTGTCCCCTGCATCGGCAGGCGGACTGTCAACCACTGCGCCACCAGGGAAGCCCCATTTCTCTTTTTGGAAACTAAGTCCTGTCATTCAGGTGTCTTCACTCAAATATCACAGTGATTGCCAATCAATGTGGAAACTATTCTAAGGCCAAATGACTCACACTGAGCAGATCGCTTATCATGGCAGGGGAGGCCCACAGGATGGGAGGTGCAGTACCACAGAGATAAGAAGATTGGTTATAACACTGGATAATATATAGAAATGTTCCTACAATGTGATCTTTGTCACTTTTGAAGGAATACTTGCTTTTTCTCTCTACAAGTGACTGCTCATTAAGAACTAGGTACAATATATTTCTGAAAGAAATGCTTCACAAAGCTTTCTAAGAAGGTGTGGTTAACTTAATGCTGTCTTCTTTGTCCTGAAAAACAGGAGTGGGCTTTCACACGTACAGTTTTCAAAGCACTCATCATAAATATGGAGGGAATTTAGCCCAATTTAGTAAAAAAAAATCAAATTTAGAACGGAATGAATTCTATACCCTCTCCCTATCCATTCTGCAACACCCATCAAGCCCAATTTCACTGTGAAATGTGTCATTTCAAAGCCTGTGGGGATCTTATCCTCCCGGGTCAGGCTGGGACTCAGTGGTAAACAGGAGGCACAGAGAGGGCAGTGTAAAGGCAGCTTTAACATTTTCAGTGAAAAGAGCCAACTTGTTTGTGGTTTTGATTTGCTTTTAATAACAAGCTCCCTCAACCCAAACTGATGAATTGGCATAAGAACAAGGGTACAAAAGGAACATCAAGGGGCCTTCCAAAATGCTAACCAAAGGATGAATTCTCTGCTTTGGGTGGCCATCATTTTATCCCTTGGAACCAGGAGATAAAAAGATGCAAAGCTTTTAATATATGCTTCGCGAGTATATAAAGGAACTGATTAGACCATGTGGCCCGTGGTGGTGTTGTCTTAATACTTTATAATCACATTCCATACTTTAAGCAAATGCAAATTCTGCCACATGCTGCCCTTGAAAGGCCATTTCACTGTATACTGAATTGAAAGTAATCACTGACACAGCGTAAATAAAGCCTCTGTTGGGTAAACACCAAAGCATTTTCCACACAGTATTGCATTTTACAATAGCTAAGTTTATTGTCAGTGAAAAGATAGGCACAAAGTGGATTCAAACCTGCTTAACTTTATTGGAACTAGCTCAGTCAATTACAGAATGGGGTCTCAATCATTATGGGGCCACATACATTTTAAACCAAAGGTGATCCCTGTCTAGCCATCTGCCAGCCCCAGCTATCCAGTTTACAAACACATGCCATCAATCACAAGGGAGGCCAGAAGGAGGTTTGATGGCTCCATTGTTGCTACCAGGAAAAAATAAACAAACTCCCAACACTTGTCCAACTGATGATGGATGGTACTTGGAAGCTATATTTCCAAGGATCATGGTGGGCTAAAATTGGTGGCAATTAGCCCATAGCTGATGCCTTCCTTTGAAAACATGTTCAGTAAGAATGCACACATTTTAGGTAACACATTCCATATGTGAATGAGCAATTGAGATAACAGGAGATGGTATGGCTAACAGACATGAGAATATCATTTATAAAGGTTAGTGCATATGTATACACTTGAAGCTGCCACATTATGTTTAGGCTCTTCATAAAAAGTAGTCTGGGGCTTCCCTGGTGGCGCAGTGGTTGACAGTCCGCCTGCGAATGCAGGGGACGCGGGTTCGTGCCCCGGTCCGGGAAGATCCCACATGCCGCGGAGCGGCTGGGCCCATGAGCCATGGCCGCTGAGCCTGCGCGTCCGGAGCCTGTGCTCCGCAACGGGAGACGCCGCAACAGTGAGAGGCCCGCGTACCGCAAAAAAAAAAAAAAAGTAGTCTGCACAATCAGTTTGTTCCATTTTCCAATTGGTGTCCCCAACCCAACTGTGTGACAAGAAAAAGAATGCACGACGGGGCTCTCGGTGTGTTTCCTATGGCAGATGACGGCAGATATTTCAGGTTCCTGCTATCCTGTCATCCTGAAGCTCAAAAGCAGCATTGAGAATAAATCCTTCATTAAAACAGCAATCAAGATACATGATCTTAAAAGACAGCTCAAGCTAGTTTTATTTAATAAAAAAAAATTGTTAATAGGAATTTTATATCAAGTAAAGTTTGTTCTAATGAAGTTTTTCTGTACATGGGACATTGGTGTACAACTGACTTAGAAGGTCCCCAGAGACCACCAGGCAGTACAAGTTAAGACAACAAGGTCACCCTCCTGTCCTGAGGTGCCAGTAAAATGCATAGATAGATGGGAGTCCAGAAAGATCCCCCAAATGTTATTACATCCGCACAATCATGAAAAGGTGGCTAACTTGAGATTTCTCCCATAAATCTGAAGTTTTTAAATGACACCTATTAGAGATTTTCTGAAAAGGCTGGATCTATCTTTTCCTCGTAAACATAATACACTGACGTGGACTTCTTCCACCTCTTAGATGTTCCATATTATTTTAGCAAATTACCTGTGATAAAAAAATTGAGCCAAAAGGAACTGCCTCTGGTGTGAGGGGGCAGAGAAGTTGTGGAAAGTTCAAAATAGTAGTTGGCCAAGAACTTCCTCCTTTCCCCAAAATATATGAGTCTAAAGAGATGGCTGCCCCACAGTGTGGAATGTATGACATTTGTCACCTTACAGAATGTGATTAAAACGGTGGCTCCCAGAGCTAGCAAAAATTCTGGCAATGTGTCATGACCATGAAAGGAGTAGATGAAAGGTTTCTTTTTATTTATTTTTTATTTATTTGAATAGAAAGCAGCAGTCCTGAAGTTTGCTACTTGTTGCTTCTACTATTTGAAGGATTTTTTTCCCCTGTGACTATAGGGTAGTATGAGTATTAACACAACTGCACTTTTAATTTCTATTTGGGATTCACTTGATGACTGAGGACTCGCTCGTGTAGGATGATCACTTCATCTTTGAAAATGTCAAGACTGGCTGAAAAATCACATCACCTTCCCTCCTGTCTCTCCCTCACCACATACAAAATAATTCCTTTTAGGAATGACCAGAAAAACATTGTTAAATATACCATCCCTATACTCGCAGAGGAACCCTGTAAGATGATCCGAGATAGCCAATCCCATAGCAAGAAAAGTGAGGTTGACTTCTTAGGGAGATGTTTCATGTGGCTCAGTGTTGAAATAAGGATCAGGAAAGGGAAAACCTTGCAAAAGGCACTGCAGGAGAGGCAAGATAGGAATTCAAAACCTTGGACAAATTACTCAAACCAGGGACATTTTCCAAAATGCATGTGCCCTGGACCGTGTCAATGTCTTTTCTTAAAGTGGGGCTTTTTGTATATAAGCGTTTCCCAAATTAAGCATGGTCATTGGCAGAGTGGAAAGCTGTGTTGTCTGATCTTGAAAAAGTCACTTAACCTCTCCAGGTCTCAGATTCCTCATTACTAAAATGAGGGGGTATGGCTATATTGCTAAAGTTCCTTCCAGCCACTATGCCTCCCAATGTAATATATCAGGCCTACTCTTCTATGAATTTGGTTTCTAACTAACACATCCCCAAACCTCTACCCCCCCAACCCTTACCTAATACCCCCACTCCCCTCACCCCCCCTAATACCCCTGAAAACTGATCTTAATGACATCGTCTATGGATTTATCACCTTAATGAAGGGCAGAGAGGCGACACAGGGCAGAGACCTGTGGCAACAGGCAGCCCTTCTGTGTCCCTGGAGGCAGACCTAAGGCAAAGCTTGGAGCCATGGCCTCCTTGGTCCCTGCCCACATGTGCGTTTCCTGCTGCCCTCCAAAGGTATTCCAAGATGGAGTCACTGGCAGTGAGAAGAGGTAGCTGAGGATACTGCTGCAGCCTCCCTCTCCCCTGACTGCAGCATAGTACTTTGGGCTTCTGGTGCTATTCCCTTGGAGGTGATAGTCATATATGCCTTTTAAGACGTATGCTAAGAATTTGGGAAAACAACACGAGTTATTTCAAAGTAGTCAACAGAAATTCAAAGCATTCAACCTGTCAACGAAAACGCTTCCTCATTTTGCAAATGATTGGCAATTTGAGACTGGTGACACAGCCAGTGAATTTGTGCTGGAGAAGAAATAAACACTAAGCAGGTTGGTCTCGGGAAAGGCAAGCGAGCTATGTTCCTGGCTACATACAGACCACACAAGTCTGCATACAGCACCTCATGCAACTCTTCATCAAGGCCTCGGATGGTCTAACTCCCTAAGAGAGAAGAAGTTGTACATCACTCAGCTAATTTACTCTCCTAGCATCTGAAAGCAATATATTAATTATCCAAATGCATAAATTACTCCACAGTATATATATGAATGTATGAACCTCCACGAGGGAACCAAAAGCATCCACTTCCAAAGCACCACTGAAATAAAGATAAACACAATCTCCTGGCCCAGGGTAGCTGGGAAATTGGGAGGGAAAATTAGCTCCAGCACCCGTCCACACCCCAATACTCCCTACCTTTTCTCCAGTTTACATAGCTCTTAAAACTATTCCCTTTCATGTGCCCGAGGCGAGAGCTCTCTCCGGATGCTGCCTAGATGGAAACTATACAAAACAGCACACACCCAAATCCTCTCTGGCTTCGACTTCTGAACTACATGTTACACACTGTCTTCCAAACATACTGTGCTCTTTGATAAAAGAATGATCCAGAATATGGAAATGCTAACCAAATTTCAGCACATTGAAAACACTGATGTATATCCAGCTATTAACAGTCCCAGAATTTGTATAAATCCAAACAATAAACTTTAGAGTACATTCTGATTGATCTGGCTTTAGAGGTACTCTCTAAGTGTACCAGAACAGACTGGAGTTCATATGGTATTACCTAAGTACTATGTTGTTTCAATAAAAAGTCCCTTTAAAAAACATCCCCCCACCCAACCCTTGTCCTCACCCTCAAAATAAGAACAAACAAAAGGGAAAAATGATTAAAAGCATTCTTGCTGATAAACTGCAGCTCTTGATTAGGCCATTTAGATGAGATATTCCACCATCTCTGCATCAGGCTCTTGTCCCAGGATCTGAATGGGAGCTTTTCTTTCCAGAGCATTGGAGTGGAAAACAGGGCCATCTAAATGGAAATAAGGGGTTAGAAAACACTTAGGGACAAGGTGAAAACTCAAATTTTAGAAGTGGCTTTAGAGCCCCCATTAAACCTACGGCAAAGTGACACTGGCCCACTACACTCCCCCTGTTGTTCACCTGAGCGTTTACTTTTACTGGGAAAATGACCTTGACTCATCCCCGTTCTATCCTGGAGAAGTCATTTACAGACTCTCTGCCCCATCTCCTCTGATTAATCCGCTTTAGAACTTGGAAAGCCCTGCCCATATGACCGGCTGTGCCTAAACAGCAGGCCAACCACCCAATCTGTCACTGAGGGCAGAACCCAGGGCTACCTGATCCAGAGAATTACTACCTGTCTTACCTGGATTGCAGCTCAAACTTGGTGTAGACAAACGACGTGGTCCAGAACCGGCAGCTGGACTTGCAGGAGCCTCAGCCTGAGCCAAAGCTGGAGCTGGAGCTGGAGCTGGAGGAGCAGCTGCAGCCGGAGCTGGAGTTGGTGCCTGAGTCTGAGCTGGAGCAGAAGCCTGAGCCGCTGCTGAAGCCGGAACTGGAGTTGGAGCCGGAGCTGGAACCGGAGCCGGAGCAGCTGGAGCAAGCTGAACAGCAGCAGCAGCAGCAGGAGCAACAACAGCAGCAGCAACAGCAGAGGCAGCAGCTGGAATCTGAGCAGCAGCAGCAGCTGGAGAAACAGCAGCAGCAAGAGCAGCAGCAGCAGTTGCTGGAGACGGGGCGGCGGCGGTGGCGGCGGCTGGAGCGGCAGCAGCGACAGCCACTGGAGCAGCAGCTACCATGGTGGTGGTGGTGGTGGTGGCAGCGGTGGCAGTGATGGCGGCAGCAGTGGCGGCAGCAGCAACTGGAGCAGGAACAGAGATGGGAGCGACAGCTGCGGTTTTGTTGGGTTCCGTTCCCCGTTCTGTTTGCGTGCTGCAGTCCCGGCTGCCTGTCTTGGAGTGAGCTGACAGTAGGGGAGTCGAGGGCGGCACAGGCGAGGGGGTGGAAGGGACAGACTCGGCACGGTAGTCTCCACCCAGGAGGATACCTACAAAGGAAAGAGGGAAGGAGCTTAGAAAACTACAGGCTATTCCGATATAGACATCTGATTACCTCTTCTTCCTTGCAGGAGGCTCAGGAGGAATAGGAATGGTCCCAAATTCTCTACTTTTGCCTCCAGTGAACCCAGGAATCAGTTTGTCAGGCACCTCCCACCGTGGCTAAAAGCTTCTTTCAGACTTGGCAGATCCCTTCCGATTCTCATTCTTTAATCCCCCAGCGAAACGTATTAAACCTTTAAGTGTCCTGGGTATCTGTTCTGGTTTATTTTTCCAATGGTGATTGATTTCCAACGAGCTGTCAGAATGCTTCTACTTGGTTCCACTTATAACCAACACCAGCCATTACCAAACAGCTGGAAAGGATCAGGGAAAGAAGTCTGTGGTCTCAGAGGAGTGTGATAGTAATTGTGTGATCTAAGGTTCTAACCATGACCACGGTCCCCCAAATACCTACTCTAAGCAAAGGACACTGCAAGTGTCAGAGGACCAAGAAAGGTATTAGAAGCAACAAAGAGAGCTAAAATTAAAATATACATAGCTTGTTTCCTCAGGCTCCAAAAATGTGCCTCGTGGTATCCACAATACTTCTGGGGTTTTGATTAGAGGGGAAGGAATGGACAGGAATGGAATGAAAAAGTACATTCTGTTCTCATCTCAGAATATTCTGGTAACAAAAACCTGCCACCCAGCTCCATTTAGCTTAACTAGAACTCTGCGTCCTCCTATTATATGGGAGGAAGGAACACAGGAAAAGCTGGAATTTTGAAATTTTCAATGACACGAAAGCCACATGGGCTTTGGACAAAGACAAAAGGTTCCGCATGGCCAAGGCCAAAGCTGAGAAGTTTTAAGAGGAAACTGAAGTTATCTTCTTTCCCACCCAAACAGAACTCAGGATTCTTATCGTCTAGGGCTGTGGCTTCAAACAGTGTTCTCTCAGTGAGACTTCATGGTGTCTCCTAAATATGCGGTCAGCCTCTCAGGAGGACAAAACCCAACCAGGTATATCTTCCTCTCTAGAAGCGGCACCATTACTCCTTCTCCTTGTCACGTGGGCACATATCCAAGTCAGGGCTCTCTTTAAAACGTGTCACTTTAATCTTCCTTATTTACTGTCATTACCTAGGCTCCCCTTCCAGCTCTTGTCATCCCGCTTCTCTTCCATGATGGGGGTGCCAGTCAGGGTGGAAGAATGGGAGAGCAAGCCTGATCCAGCATTGGAAATGGACATCAGAGACTTTGCTGGCCGCATGGATGACAGCTGCTCTGTCTTACTTGGCTCCTTCCGGGAACGCTGCTGGAGTACCTTGATCATGGCATCCTTCTCAATAATCTGGGCATGGAGGGTCTTAATCCTAGGAGCCAAAGACAAAGAACATATGAAACATTGTTGCCACCTCCAGGTTCTGGTCTCACTTCCTGCATGGACTTGAGCTTCCGTTATCTTTTTGACCAGGGGGTGGTCTACTTATTTCTGAGTTGTAAGACAAGAGACAGTGTGCAACAATTTTTAATGCACACCCATATGGGCACAGAGGAACATCCAGGAGTTGCCAGTTAAACCTTAGGAAGCCAAAGAAAAGTATCTGTGAAAAGAAGGGCTGTATATGAGAGAGTAAACTGATGTAGTGGGTACCTTAGTGAAGAATCTGAGTCAATGGAAATGATGAGTCAGTCAGTGAGAAGATGAGAACTTCTAAGAATGGGCTACTTCGGCTAATAAGTAAATGATCATGCACTTGTAAGAGACATCAGATGCCCTATCTCCGAGTTTGAGTGGATGTTCTTTTTTTGCGGTACGCGGGCCCCCTCACCGCTGTGGCCTCTCCCGCGGCGGAGCACAGGCTCCGGACGTGCAGGCTCAGCGGCCATGGCTCACGGGCCCAGCCGCTCCGCGGCATGTGGGATCTTCCCGGACCCGGGGCACAAACCCGCGTCCCCTGCATCAGTAGGCGGACTCCCAACCACTGCGCCACCAGGGAAGCCCTGAGTGGATGTTCTTTTACCAAGCACTCTGCTGTACCACAGAGTTGAGGTGCAATGCTAGAAAGAATACCTCAGAGTGCAAATACCAACAATTCAGTTCTGGAAGAGGGCATGTGGAAGCAATTTACCAAGGACAATGGGAAAAGCAGTGTTACTTGGAATTCCAGAGTTAGTGGGAATGATCAAGGTAAAGGTCATTGCATCTCAAATCCTAAATAACAGGCTGGCAGGGGTGCAGGGGTGGGGGGAGGCTGCATTATCAGGTTCCCCTGCTGTGAATGAAGATGCTTGCCCTTCCCTACTGACCTGTCTGGTCTCCATACCAACTTCTCAGATCCACCAGAGTCCAGATCAACATTTTACCTGCCCTCCATGTCAAGGCAACGCTTGTTGGCCATCAAGATTTCTTCTTCCTCCTTCTGGATGCGAGCTTCTAGAGCTGTGTCATAGCTGGTGTTAGGAGAGTGGCTGATGACTGTTGTGTCCCTGGGAAGGAAAATGGCAGTGATAATGATGGGAGGGCAACAAAATCTCTGTCCTAAGTCAAAAGCCTTAGGCTGGAAGGCCCTACACTGAAATCAAACTTATTAGGAATGGTCAGTTTCTGGGTGACTTACTGATAAGAATCTCCAAGATGGGAAGGTTCAGCTTTCAGAGCTAGAAGAGGTTATTGACAGACATAAGTACAAAAGTCAGTGATGGAATCTATGAGAAGTGCACAGGCTTGCCTTCAGGACTAGAGAGACACCCTCCCAAAACCTCTGGCAGAAAGTCCCTTCAAGTTTGTAGATCATGACCAGGCAATAGGGAGATATTCATATTTCCACTTTATATGATTATTTATATTACATATGAGATATTCCCACTTTATTCTCATGACAGTCATGAAGGGGAAAAGGCTAGACTTTGAAGGAAGTCAGAGAAAGTACCAAAGAGCTATTGCTACATTCAACAGCAGTAACTCCACCTGAGTGTTTGCTAGAAATGAACTCTAGACATGTCAGTAGCCAAGTTCAGGTAGGGCATGGGAGCTGAGTGAGAAGCAGGGCCTTTGAGTCCGTGCCTTGATTCCTATCTAAGCTATATCTGAAACATTCAAGCGCCAAATCAATGAGTCTCCCCCAACTAAGTGACTAATCTCTTGCCAGAGTCCCAACTGCATGAGGGACCATCATGTTCCATCTGAAAGTGTCTCAGGCCATTAACTCAAGGGGTAACTCATAAGGAGAAGAGAGTGTGTGTGTGTGTGTGTGTGTGTGTGTGTGTGCGCGTGCGCGTGTGTGTGTGTGTGTGCGCGCGCGTGCGCGCGTGTGTGTGTGTGTGTGTGAGAGAGAGAGAGAAGAGAAGTGAGGAAAGGAGAGGAGAGGAGAGGAGGGGAAAGGATGTAACCCATGGGCAAGGCTGATGTTTAAACAGCACAAGTCAAAGACATAATGGGAATCCTATACCCTCCTGATAAGTGACATCATGCATCTTTCTTTAGTTCATTTAGAACTAGTGGTAGAGAAAAGAGGGAAGGGAAGAAAGAAAACTGGATCGTATTTGAGTAACTTGGAGGGAAAGAAAACGAGTTTAGGAAGAATGTTGATGTAATTATATTGGTCTTAAAGAAAACCAGACTATAGGCTGAGGAAACAATGAACTGGCACTGCTGCATTATACTTCCTCTGAGAATGAGGATCTGTGGGAGAACTCCAGGCATCTTTTCTGCTGGCAGCTGGTTATGTCCTGTTAGCATAGAGATTGTGACCAGTGCAGATGGCTGTGAAGGAGCAGGGGAATGAAGAGGCAGAAAGTTGGTATTAAAGTTGGGGAATTTTGGTGAGCTTCTGCAAAACTACTGTTCCCCAAAATGCTTGCACCTTATATGCGAGGCGGAAACAATTCATTTGAATGGTGAAATAATTGGAGAACAAGAAGGGAAAGGACCACAGTGGCTTTCATCATTTGCTAAATTCAAAATATTTTAGTATCTTGGAATTCTACACTTGCTCTAGTGCAGTTCACTGGCTTGTAGTCCTACTGGGAATGGCCCCTGTGTTCCAAAGTACCCAAGAGGAAGCAGCATTGTGTAGTGTTGAGAGCACAGGCCCTGACTATAGGCCACGCCAGGGTCAAGTTCCACTTTCCCTAGTCCTCTGCCACTAACAAACTCTATGAGCTCAGGAATTGGGTTAACTGCTCTAAGCCTCAGGCTCCTTGTTTGCAAAATTGAGATAATAATTATACTTATATCTCATGGGATTTGGGGCGGGGATGAAATGAAAGTGCGCATGTAAAACATGCAGTGCCAGGCACAGTAAAAACACTCAACAAGTTATTATGAAGAGAGAAAAGTGTAGGTAGAAAGAGAATAACGTACAAGAGAGTATGAGTTGAATGAATTCCAGCTCTTGGTATGGTCCTGGAGGCGATCCCCACAGTGCAGAGTTCCAATGTGATGGCAGAGGCTTCAGAGGCAGGCCTCTTCTAAAAGTGCATAGTGTCTATGGACACTGGGGACTTGAGCGTACGGTTTGTCCCTGGGGGAGCCACTTTCATTGCATAAAAGACCATTCTGGGGACACAGAGCCCTGCCAGCTAATTGATATGGACACTGTGAACTCCTCAGGAATGGAGCCTGAAAATGTGGGGCACTTAGTGAATTCCTACAGAGCTGCCAGGATGGCCTTCGACATCAATCTTCCTTCTAGAAGACTGGGGCTACTGAGCAATGGCTTAAGCAAAAGCAAGCAGGCACAGCATTTGAGGGAGCAACTTGGCCTGCTAACTTCCAATACTCTGAGCCTACCCTTAAGCACATCAGTAGAGAGATGCTGGGCTTGAAATGACAACCTACAGACCCCAAACCGCATTATCCCTGAATTACTATCCCGCACCTCAAATTCTTAGGTAAATGGTTTCTGGCAACTATTCCTCCAGTCATCTTCTCTCTCCTTCCTCTGATGAAGTTATCCCCGTCACATTACTTACATTGCTTTCTAGAATGTCACCCATGACCTCCTAATTAAAACATCTAGCGGCCTTTTAAACTTCAAGTCCATCTTTTTCCTATCGGTAGCACCCTTTTGTTTATTTAAAATGGGAACTCAACCATGAGTGGAGCAGTGTGTTTGAAGTTCCTGGGAGGATGGAGAGTGGATGGACATGGATAAGACTAGTCCCCGACTGTAGGGAACTTGCAAGGGGAAGGGAAAAAAGTAAATAATTAACTATTACAGAAATGAGTTTGGACTTTATTCCAATAGGCACTGAAGCTTATTAGAGCTTTTCAAAGGGAATGAAATGATCCAAGCTGTGGTTCAGGAAGACAGCATTATCTCTGCTGAAATGTATGGAGGGATTAGAGGAGCCATAATACTGGAATCGGGCAGACCAGTCAGAAGGGTTATAATCCCAGCAAGAGATGTTGAAAACAGGACCCGGCGAAGTGGCAAAGGGAAATGGAAACAGGCTACAGGAAGCAGAATTGCTAGAACTTGGAGACTATTTAAATGTGGGTGTTAGGGAGAGGGAAGAATGAACGATGACTTTGTTGTTTCTAATTCAAATGACTAGAAAAGATGGCATACTGCTCATTTTCTGTGATAGGAAACCAAGGAGAACTTTCTTTCTTTTTGGAAAATGCCTATAATGGGTTTTGATTTTAGTTACAGTGGACTTAAAGTGTCTTATGGGTAGCCATATGGTAATATCCATCCAACAAGTTGTTGAAAATTCTAACTTTAATCTTAGAGATGTCAGAGTTACTATTTGAAGCTATAGTAGAGAACAAGATAACTAAGACAGAAGGTAGAATGAGAAGAAAGCAGAGAACGGAACCTGATAAATGCCTCCACAACGCAAGACTAGGTAGACATGCGTCACATGTGTGACCAGTTTCTACCTTCTGCTTTCCCTTTCTTTACTTCCTTCTTTCCCAGATTTACTTTGTCCCAAATAAAAGTGAAACATTGCACATTCAGAGAAAGGTAACAGTCTGATTCAGTAAATGCAAAGAAATAAATTACTGGTTGATCGGGTGTGTTATCTTTTTATCTTTTTGCTGCTATTCAGAAATAAATCACCATTTGTGAGCTGAAACTAAAAATCTGCACTGCCAAATCAGTTCTTCTGAGATGAACTCCTACTTGGTAGTAACTTCCCTCATCTACATTAAGCATCTGGAGAGGAATACTCTAGGAACACAATAATATGAAGTTATAATATAGGCCATGTTTTTGTGATTATTTATAATAGTCTAAGAAGGTAAATAATAAGCCTCAAATAGTAACTCTTGAACAGGTAATACTGCCTATTTCACCATCTTTGAAATCATCCTATCTGGGAGGCAGCAGAGTATATATAGCACTCAAGGTGTCAAAAATGTAGATTTAAGTCCTGGTTCTTCTGCCTCTTAGTAGCTGTGTGATCTTAGGGGAATTCTTTAATCTGTCTGTGCCTCAGTTTCCTCATCTGTAGAATGGATACCAGTACTGCTCTCAAAGAATTATTGTGAAGGTAAGCAATAATTGTAAAGCGCTTAGAAGCGTACCTTATATAGTAAACACTGCATGTGATTTCTTGCATTGACAGCTTTCCCTTTGACAAGAGATGCTTCACAGAATCAAAATGCCAGAATGGGTATAAAACAGATAACCCAATATGTCTTCTCACCTGAGAAAAGACAGATGTCTATTCCTATATTAAAAATCTATATTTTATTATTCACAGTGGCCAAACACTGGAAACAATCCGAATATCCATCATCAAGTGAATGCATAAACTGTGGTACATCCATGCTATGGAGCACTACTCAGCAATAAAGAGGAATAAACTATTGATATACGCATTAACTTAGAGCAAGCTCAAAGTAATCATGCTGAGTGAAAGAAATCAAACAACAAAAAAAGTACATATTATATGGCTCTTTTTATATGACGTTCTAGAAAAGGCAAAATTACAATGACAACAGATATTGTCTGGGGTCAGGCATGGGAGGAGGGGATCAAGTTAAAGGGGCATAAGGGCACATTAGAATGTGTCCTCTATCTTGATGGTAGTGGTGGCTACATTATTATATACAATTACCAACATTCACCAAACCAGACACTTAAAATAAGTGGTTTTTAAATATGTGAATAATACTTCAATTGAAAAAATTCTACAACTACCATTGTATGACCCCAGCAACATTTCCTATTGCACAACTTATTATTTATGTATGAGCTATTATTTTACAAATATATTAAGTTTGAGATACTTAATATCTCAGAATAATAAGCAGAATACACAGAAACTGAGCAGGCTGGTACAATGTGGCACTAGATTTAAGGATTTAAGTTGTATAGAGTTAGAAAGCATTTCCTTTCTTCTTTTACTTCTTCCTTTTGCCCTCTTTCTTTTTTCTCCTTTTTTTCCTTCCTTCATTACTCAAACATATGTTGAGCACTTTCCATCTGCAGCCAATGTCCTAGGCACTTAAAAATTATTTTGGAAGAAAATAGAATATAAAGCCTTTACTACAGAAAGGGGTAAAGAACAGAACCTTGGTCAGTACATTTAGGGTTGGGAAGAGGGAAAGTGAAATCACTGGACAGAAAAGAAATGGCAAGAAGAGATGTTGGAAGGGAAGGCAGAAGAGCCCACAGGTTCTGAAACAAAGTTACTTTCCAAATTTGAAATCTCATAAAGAAAGAAAGAAAGGAGGAGAAGGAAACTAATCTCCGTGGCAGAGCATAAGAAGCAAATCTTTGGAAAAATAGTATAATCGTAGCAATAGAAGGGTCTGGAACAATCACCTAGTCCAATTCTCTCATTTTACAGGAATTCAAATACAGTCTCTCAGTCTCTTCTGTGGGTTGTATTAATAGGCATGCAAAAGGTACACAGTCCAGATATGGAATGTTTGTCCGGGAAACTATTACAAAGTGTTCCTATTAGGTGGGAACTGGCTGCTTTTTACCATATTAAATGATAAGCATGCACATTTTACTGAAAACAGTGATTGCATGGAAACTTTCTACCTGGTGATTTAAAGGAATTCAATTTAAATTAAATCTATTTTATGGGAGCCAACAGATTCTGGAAAGAAATCCATCTGAAAGGGGATTCTCCCAATATTCAAAACTTTCCAGGGAGGAAGGAAAGGGGTAGTTTCTTTATACAAGGCCCTCAAATGACAACCTCCTAGCTTTCCTGCATTGTGACCTGGAGTCTATTCTGAAGTCAGTTTCAACAGTGAACTTCCCAGCACCAAGAACCCCGGCTTTCCAACATTTCCTTACACCGCACACTTTCATGAGCTGTATCTTTCTAAGTTTCTGCTCAAAGATGACAAAAATGCCCTGCACCTCTTTGTCAGTGTTAGGGTTTCCTGAATAACCTCTGAACAAGCACTGGGCACAGGTGTTTTCTTGGGAACCAACAGCTAAAATTACACTTCATTCTGATTCTAAGCTGCCTACAAACTTATCAACCATCTTCCAGCCCAGCTGGGGCTTCTCTGCGCTCTATTACTACACTGGCATGGACTGAGCACACCGTTCTCAGAAAAAAAAAAAAAAAAAAAAAAAAAAAAAGACAGGTAAGCTTAAGCCCATGAGGACCTCAAAATCAAGGCACAGGCAATTTCAATCTGTTTAAGGTTTATAGGGGGTATCTGGAGACAGACAGAGCATGTTAGAGAAATGTAAGATGTCTTCCTGAAGAATTGGGAATAGGTTTACAAACCACCAGTCCAGCTTTTAAGCATTGACCTTCCTCTGATTTGGGATGAGAAGGACTCGAAAATAAATGTATCCACTGCCCCCTCCACACACATATTCCAACCCAAAGTCTGGCAAGTGCTGCCAGACGCTGCCGGCTCACCACATTTAGGAGAATGCTAAAAACAACGCCATGATTTTTAATAACTTTCTGGATAGAGACCTATCTGGGTGCAATATGCTACAGCCTGCCTTAGATACCCAACCCCAGACCATGGCTCTGTCTGTATCCCCAACAATCCACATCATCTCCTGATTTGAATTTAGTTTTTGTTTCTTTCCCAACTGATGATTACAAACAGCAGCGAGACAAACTGGATAAGAGCACTGTGTCCTCCAAAGAGCAATAATAAATGTTTACAATGAGAAAAGGGGAACACATAAAGGGCAAAAAATGAAAACGCCTCCTGCCACTTTCTCTCCCTTACCAAATGGAATGTGACTGCTTACATGTGATGAACTTGGAGGCACAGAGAATGTGGGCTTCAAATATAGACCTTCTCAAAGGGCAGGGATGGATTCATGTTCAGCACAGTCTTTGGCATACCTTGGACAAGCCAGAGCTATCAAATGGCAGTAGCCACTCCTGAGTGACATTTCGTTTCTGAGTGGCATTTCTCTGGAGAAGCTTTCATTCCAGTCCTGGGGCTAAACAAAGAAACCTACACATGTGGCTGAAAGAACCTGAGGCTTTGGGGAAGGAGGTGTGTGGACGTTCAGTTGATCCCATCTGCAAGTGTTCTGGCTCCTGAAGAAAGCTGAACTATGATTCCAGTAAGTTCGTCAGTAACTTTAACTTACAAATTCTGGACCCTCTTCCCCACAGTTGTTCAGTCTCTGCATAACCAGATAGAAAAAAACAAAAACCACACACTTAAGCAGAAACTGAGAAAAAAGAAACAGAACATTATGGGGAAAAAAACACTGGAAAATCTATTCATCAGTCACTTTTCTGTTCTCCACACCACCCCTGCCCTTCATTCAGGGACTCTACCAGCCAGCTACTTACCTCTGAGCAGCTACGGTGGCCGCAGCATCCAGAGCAAAATGTCTCATCACATTCTCCTCTAAATACTTCTGCTCCCACTTAGTCATGTCAGCTTCCAGGGCCAGGATCCTCTCCTCTTTCTCACGAAGGAGCTCCATCAGTGCAGCGGCATTGTATTCTGAAACATTGGTGGGCTGAGAGTTGCCCTGGCGCTGTTGGAGGAGATGCCGAGACCCCTGATGTTAATGAGTTAGGACCACAGTGGCTGAGTCCCATTTGAAGAGCCCTTATTTTTGGAAAGGATTACTGCCCAAGCCACTTCAGTTTGGATTCCGATTCAGAAGCAAGGGGAATTCATAGGACTTTCTACCTCGGGCTTGAGTATGAGACTCTCGATCACGAAGGGAGCCTGCCATGTCAAATGGTCGTGCTGCTCAGAAAGTGGATCCGTGGTTTAAAAATCACTAGCCCTGCCGGCCAGCATGGTTCTCCATAGAAACGGAAATTAAAAATCTAGGATTTGGTCTCTGCCTTGCCCCTAAACTTGTTGTGTGACCTTAAGGGAGTGATGCCACCTTTCCTGGGTCTTGATTTTCTCTCATCTAAAAGTGAGGAGATGTATGGAAATGATTCTAAAGACCATTTCCAATCCTAAAATGTCCAGGAGTCTATCTGTATAGCGTCTTCACTTCTTATAGGGCCTACTGTTTCTGGGGTTCATATGAAAACAAAAAGTGCAAGATAATAGGCATTAAGGATTTTGCTGCGATAGGAAGCTAAGGAAGCCAACTTCATCTTTACAATTGGGAGGCGCTCTGGAGTAAGATCAGTTGGGGCAAAAAGCCTGAAGATGAGCAAGAGTGTGTTTTTGGATTCTCATGTCAGACACTATCTGACAAATAAGCAATCAGGAGCAATCTCATTTTCTTGAAGTTCTCTATACCTGCTGGATTCGGAGGGATTCCAGTTCTCTCTCCAGTCGTGTCCGGAGACGGTGCTCCAGCTGCTCTCGTTTTTCACATGCTGCCTGGAGCTGTACAAGAGCTTGCTGCATCTTTTCCACCTTATCTACGTACACTTGCTTCTTTTTCAGCTGAAAATCCAGGTTGGGAGAATTACAAGATAGAAGGAAAGAGAACAACAGGGTCAGTTATACAGCCCCCAAATCCAGCCTTGTGTTTAGATCTCTTCCTGTCCAGCTCCAGAAAAGCATGAATGGCTTCCTTCATGAGTATCGGGCTGTCTTGTATTTACCATACAGATAATGTCTCAAGGGATAGGAATTAGGAGCTCCTTTTTCATCTCTCCCTCCTTCCCCATCTCTACGTTTTCCCCAAGTCTACTTCTATCAGTAGAGTCTGTCTTAGATGGCAAGCTCTTAAGATTCCCATTTATGGATGTCCTCACCTCTGCTCTTCTTCACTCTAAACTGTAATATTCTGGGGGAGGGTATATCTTACTTTGGTCATTATAGCAGGGGAATGCTAAAAAAATAAAAGGGGGGCTCTCCAGGGAGAAGAGTTTAATTCGGAATGGAAAGGAAGCCTACCCACTTTATATAGCTGTCTCCTCTCCAAGTGAGAGAAAAAGGGTGGTCAACTGCTGCACGTAGAGGGAGGCCAGAATTGTCTTTCTGAACTCTACAGTCCTGGTAATTACTCAATGTAATCATCACTGCTCTCCTGGAATGTTTCTGCTCCTCAAAAGTGAAGCTGCTGGGACTTCCCTGGTGGTCCAGTGGTTAAGACTCTGTGCTCCCAATGCAGGGGGCACGGGTTCGATACCCGGTCAGGGAACTAGATCCTGCACGCCGCAACTAATGATCCTGCGGGCCGCAACGAAGATCCCGCATGCCGCAACTAAGACGCGGTGTAGCCAAAAAAAAAAAAAAAAAAAAA